GGGAGCGACGGCCCCGCCGCGAGCGCCCTCAGCCCCACCGCCCTAACGGTCCCAGCGGGCCCCGAGTCCCCGCCGGACCTGGAGCTGTTCCTGCCACTGGGGTCCATGCCCGAAAAGGTGGTCGTGGTGGTCATGGCGGCAGGGAGGGAGGAGGTGGGCGAAGGGGAAAGGGCTCCGCTGAGAGGCCAGCGGGGAGCGACGGTCCCGGGAACGCAGCACCGGCCCACTGCCCGCTCGCCTTCCTGCTGCCGGTGACAACTGCAGCCGCCGCCCGCACCGGCCGCCCGCTTTATACGCGCCTTCAGGCCCGCCCCCTAGCGGCCGTCTTATTGGACGGTTCAAACCCGATCACGAGTTCCTATTCGACCGCGCCCTGTCACTCTGCCCTTTGGCCCGCCTCACCATCTATTCTGAGGCGCCTTGCCTCATCCGTAAAAGCTCATTGGTAAAGCAATACGTCTGCTCTGCGGTGATTGGCTGTACCTGGGCGGCGGCGCCCTTTGTTGATGATTGGCGGAAGGGCTGTCGTTCACATCAGCTGAGCTGTGATTGGCTTAACCACCCCTGAGGCGAGACAAAAGTCTCCCTGGCGTCTCCCTCGTGAGGGGAGGCTGCGCTGTGAAGAGAGCCCAGGCGAGGGGGAGGCCGCACCACCCCACCCACCGCCCTTCCTCGACAAACACCCCTTCGTGCCCCACCTGCCCCCACAGCCGCCCCCAAGGACCTCACCTCAAGTACCATCGGGCCAGTGACACCCATCCCTCACACTCCTCTTGGCCATCCCCACCAAGGACCTCCTGCTCCTTCACGCTTATCACCGTGCTGGGAGGTGGCCTGGTCCATGCCAGCCTTGAAGTTGCCTCAGAGCACATCATGGCACACCACCGAAGTACGTGGATGAACAACAGAGAGGCCCTCAAGGCATGGGGTGCCTGCACAAGGCTGCTGTGGCATTAGAGGTTGACTCCAACGAGGATGGGGAAATCTCCAATGGCCTGCACAGAGAGGCAGGGCTGCTGCAGCAACGCTGTCATCTCAGAGCAGAGCAGATGGTGCAATATCAGACAATTCTGGAGCAGTGGATTATTATGTTAAAATTAGGTCTGAGTCCCAGAACATCTATGGTGGTGGAGTACAAAGCCCAGCAGCACTGCTTCAATATCAGACAATTCTGGAGCAGTGGATTATTACGTTAAAATTAGGTTTGAGTCCCAGAACATCTATGGTGGGTGGAGTACAAAGCCCAGCAGCACTGCTCACCTGTGTCTTAAAAGCAGGAGGCTGCACGCTTTTGTGCTCTTCCACCCAGTGCCAGCACAAAACTCATACAGCACGTAATTTAAATCACCAGATGTTGGCTGTTGACCTATCTGTCAAACACACCTTTGATTTGATCACTGGGAGCTTCCTGAACTCCCTGAAACTTTCAGATACACAGATGCTTCCTTGATCACCACAACTTTTACTCCAGAATTAATGCATCAGGACCTCCCACTCCAAATGTTATTTTAATTAGTACTGGCATAAAGGGGGAAGAAGCAGGAAAGAAAACTCCTATCTGCTCTATCCATCCCTCCCAGTTTGCACTAATAACAGCCCTTAATACCCCCAAACCCACTTTTTCTCTAGAAAATGCTTCTTTTGGGCCTGGAAAACACAAGCTTGCTTTGTGCTACTTCACACTATATACAACATGAGGTCAAGTGTCTGAATTATCACCAGCCTTAATTATTAAGACAGCTCAGGAAAGAGCTGAACTGCTGAAACACAAGCAGAGCCACAGTATTTTATTTTTTCTATTCCAGAATCTATAAAAAAATCTTGTTTAAAAAAAAAAAAACCCAACAAAAAACAACAAAACCCCAACCACTATTTAGGTCCCCAGGGAATGCTCGGTCACATCACATCTTTGTAGAGATAGATTAAAGGGAAATTTTAAGTAACATGACACAGTTTTAATTCTATTATCCCTTAGGCTTGGGCATTAAGAAGTCGGATGATACCTACTTGCATACAGGTAAGCATCTGCTCTCTTGGGAACTTTCAAAAGTATTTTGTCATCTAAATGCTTTTTATTCAAACCCACAGGATTTGACTCTTAAATTTGTACCCCTGAGACATACAGAGCCATTTTTTAAAGTCAAGATGAAGAAAAACCTGTTCCCTCTGACAAAGCTAGTTTTAACACGCAGCTTTAAAATTCTAAACCTTCACTATTTCCAAGGGACCCCACTCATCTCTCAGACAGCCCTGACTGCAGGATAGGCTTTAAATAAAAGCTGCTTTGCTGGTTATTTACCCACAAGAAGATGAAGGGGTTTAGGAAGACGACTACAGAAACTGGGCTTTACAATCCTTCCCAAGATGATGACATTTGACCAGAACCATTCTCAGCAGCTGTTTCAAAAACTCAGGCACCAAACCATTCCACCTGTTGTTGAAATTCAACTGGGAATGAATGCAAAAAGCATCTGGAAGTCTGAACAAGACTCCAGCAAATGCAAGGGTTAGGCAAGAAGAGAGACCATTGGTTTGAGAAAAGCCTCAGCTTGGTCACCCTCCCATGACCAGGAGTTTCTTCTTCACACCAGTCTATTTATGGCAGTCACAATGAGCTTGCTTTCATTCCAAGCACGTCGTACAAAAAAGCAGTTTTGACTCAGTCTTGGCTTCTCTTCTTCCCTCAATTCATTCACATCCAAAGGTAAAAAGTAAGCTAATAAATAATCCTTGTTAAAGCTGGATTTGCAGCTGCCGAAGACATTCACATCTGAAGTGATGCATGGTGGAAATTCAGTGTAAGACTGGTATCCTACAGATTCAACAGTTCGTCCTAACAAGCAGATGCTATAGTTTGCAAGAGTTGTGAAAGTTGCTCTGATGCCTCTCTATACATCTTCAGGTAAAGTTCCTAACAGCAAGTTACTGTTTGGCAAGGAAGCTTGAATTGCAGTGTCCAGACTCCTCAAAAGCTGCAGAGATGTAGTTCTGAATAACAGAAAAAGCAGGGCAGCCAATTCATGCTGCTGTTCTTGTCTGGGCATCCGGCGTTACCAAGCCTGGCAGCATACTCCAAAGCATCGTTCCTTAGTGGAAAAAAAGGCAAGTATCACTGGAAGGGGAAGTCAGCGTCCTGACAAGAGTCCTCAAAGAGCTCCTTTCATTCCACTTTTGTCTTGTCCAAGTTTGCTTAAACTGTGAAGTTTTCTTAATCAAGTGACCCTTCAAGAGCCTTTGCAGGGCATCGGACGTGCTTTAATGAGATCTATGGACTGGATGCTAAAGGAAGGGATCTAAGCCACCAAAACCAGCACAAAATTCAACACAAAGGGTGTCCTTTGCATCCATGTCCCCCCAGAGAATATTCCTTTCCTAAGCAACAACAATCTATTTACTATTTATTTGGCCTTCCACAGGCTTAGTCTTTGCCTGGCGCTCTGAAGTCCTCCTCATCTAAGGATTAATTAATTGTCAAAACCTACAGCTCTCCCCACAGTCCCCATTCCCACTGCAGTCCCTCGCCAGCTCATAAACTTTTGTTGCCTTTCAACAGCACCCCACTGACCCTCACAACTTCTGGAATAGAACCACAGAATTGTTTAGGTTGGAAAAGATTTTTAAGATCATCAAGCCCAACCGTTACCCTAACCCTGCCATCCCACCACTAAACCATGTCCCTAGGCTGTCATCTCTGCTGACAGCGAGCCACTCCTTTCATAGCACCACCAACCCTACTTGATCCCTCCTGCACAAGCTGAAATTCTTCAGGAGAGGAAAACTCGTCCCCTCAAAGGGACTCAAACAATTTCATGAATACCAGCTGGGCATCCCAGCATCTCCATGTTAGAGTAAGCCCATTAGTCCCATGCTACTAGTGAAGAAACCAGAAAACCTCTAATTAAGCATCTTGAAGGCCAAGCAAAAACTGCAAATGGCGATCAAAACCCAGTCTTCCATATGTTCCTCCTCACACTCCTACATCCTAACCGCCAGGGAGAAGTGTTGTACTACCAATTCACTCTGACACCAGGTACAAAAAAGCAAGATAAATTAGAAGATTAAATTATTCGCCATGTGAACACATTCAGTTTGGCAACTGATTAACAGCCAGAATAAACAAACCTCAATCCAGAGAATGAAATGTGTTAGATTACAGTGGCAATATAATTAAGAGAATTCACATTATTTAAATACTTTGATTGTCTTTTATTACTCCACAACAGTCCACCACACCAGCTGATACAAGTGTACTGAGAAGTGGCCACGATCTAGATTTCTAATAAAAATCCTTCAATTTATTATTCACTTTCAATTTAATAGATGATGATCAAGGAAGCATCTAGTTTTTCATTTTTGGCTTTGAAAACAAATTGCTATTCCTTAGAAATTCAATTCTTTCCAACTGGCTGAAGCAGAGACAGTATTATTTCTTTGAGCCAGTCACATTATACCTTTTCATTAATGTTGCAGTAACGGTCACAATAGAATCAGTATCCAACAGGCACAACGACAGCACTTACATTGCATTGTCTGCCTCGGAAGTAATGAAGTGAAGGAACTAAAAAGGAATATTCTTGCAAGAAAAGAATCTGGCTTTGACCGTAACCCTTGCAGAGATGCTGTATCTGTTTTGATATTGTAGTTATCCTGCAGCAGCAATTATCTTCATACCACTTCAGGGATTTTTTCTTTTGTTGAGAACACCTCCACAGGCCAGTACAAGAATCTCTCTCACATTACCACTTGGAGTATTTCCTTACACTCTTGGCAGTTTAGCATATTCCATTTCAGAACAACCTTGCACTCTCAGAACCCCTTCTGAACCAGCATCTCAGGCCACTTGATCCTCACAAGACCCCTATTCAATGGGTATTATCCCCATTGCGCAGATAAACCAGGGCACTGATTTTCAGATGTTAACAAAGGGTCCTACCAAAACCAGCTGTGCCTTCAATCTGTACATGAATAGAAACGCCTTGCTTCAGGTGCCTGCAAATCAATTTTGGTTACATCTTTTAAAATAACTAGTAGTATCCATTCCACCACTGAAACTGAAACCATTTGAGGGACTAAAGACCTAGCACACGCTGAAGGCAAGGTCTTACCATCCACAAGAACTCGCTAGAGTATCGTATCCAATTATGACTTACTCCATTCTCTTTCATTTAAAAACCATGAGAGGAATATTAACTAAATTGCACGGCAATCACTTTAGAATACATTATTTGAGACTTGTGGGTAATAATATAATTTGCCCAGGCTCTTGAAAAATCTCAGCTGTTTAATAAACATGAAAAACTTACCTCCCACTTAGTGTGACAAGACCTTTTTGCCCAGTTTTCCTTTATCCTCCAATACTGGGACTTCCAGTAGTCCATTAGGCTACCAGTGTTAATATGCAAACTGTTAAAAATCAAGCCAGGCCAAACAGCTAAAGGAACTCCAAATAATTTGATCCAAATTGTTTATACCTCTGTATTCATAGCACTTCTGAATCATCACCCCTAGCAGTAGCTTTCCTAGCGAAGATGAAGTCACAGCAAAACCACTTAGGCCCCAGCAAACAGGAATCAACAGGTAAATTCTCTAAGCAGCAGAGGAGCAGTACTGACAAGAAACAAGTTCTGTTGTAAGGAGAGTATTTGCAAGACCATGCGAGAAGAGTTCTAAAGAATTAGTTTTAAAAAAAAAAAAAAAAAAAAAAACAGGTTAGTATTTCTGTATCGCTGCATACACAAATGTGTGTCAGAACGTGCCAGTCCACTTAATTTCCTGGATTAATGGAAGTTAAATGTTTGAAGCTCTTAAGGAACCAAGTCACTTAAGATCTTTGGGAGTTTCTTAATTTTTATCTAATCAAAAAACATCCCTCAGAAAAGAAAAGACCATTTTATCACTTTTTGATTGCGGTTACCATCTTACATAAACGCCATTCAGCACCGTTAGAGGAAATATTTCAGAAATATGAGCAAGCTCAGGTGAGCAGCAGAAAGAGTTAGAAACGGAGACATTTAGGAGATCAATGCCTCTTCATTTTTTTAATAGCCTATTGCTAAATACTAGAGGAAGTTTCAATTTATGCTGAAGTAAGGAGTATTTCCAAAGCTCTCGCATCCATTCAAAGGTACAAAAGCCTATGTTTTTCAGTTTTGTACAGGTGAATTTTGGTAAGCTAATAGAAATTCATGTTAAATGGTCTCACTTTATTAACGGAACATTATGTTACAAGAATCCTGCACATAAGTTCATGACAGATGAAGTACCACTCTACTACTGCAGGAAATTAAGACATTGTTTTTGAAAGCATGCTGTTTAGTACCTGTCACTTGACTTTTATTGCCTCAGGAAAGAAAAAATAGCAGGCAAGATACAACAGGGAGTTTTGAGCTTCACAGTCTTAAGTTGGGCTGAAAAAAAAAAAGCTGTATTTAAGGAGATTCTTCAGAAACTAAAGCAAGTCCAAACATGTTTTTTGGCCAAACAAGATAAAGACAGCTTTCTCCTGGGAAAAGTCTTGGCATGCCATCAAATTGAAAGAGTTTCATACACTGTTATCAGCAGCATAGCCAGGTTGAAAGCCAGAGATTCTAAAGCTGAAGAGCAATGTATTCCATGTCTAACCTATGAAAGGTATTGACATATATTCCCCCACCCACCCTTTTTTTTTTCCAAACAAGTTTTTTTCCAGGCCTCTGTGAGTTTGGATATGAAAACATTTGTTCACAAGAGGGAATTCCAACCTTGCACTACACCATAGAAGTCTACAAGATACATACCAGAGTAAGAAATAAACTGCTTAGCAGTAGAATTTTCTAGAACTAAACCAATGGCATACAGTAAATTACATTCTTCAGCTACACAGTCAAAAGCAACTGCAAAACCAGATGCTGTTTTTCTTGTATCTCCATTAGATGCAATTAATGTAATATCAAATGCATTAAAATTGTGACAGAAGTCAAACATATCACTGTCCATCAGCTAAATGCTCACACCCATCAACTTGCCACAAAGTTAAAGCATTTCCAGATCCAGCAGGCACAGGCCTAGCACGTAATGATCACCTCTTGAATTAACTATTACAAAAACTACCAACAAAAAGCGAGCTCTGCTAACAAGTTAACACCTAAAAGACCATTAACTTACTGCAAAGACTACAAAGTATTAGGACACTCCTCAGACATCAGAGAATGCTTTGGGTTGGCTGAGTAGACAGGTGTGCAATCTTTCACAAACATCCAGGGATTTCACCACAACCTCTAAATTTCCTCATGAGAAAACTCAAAAGCCAACAGCCTTGTGGACAAGGCCCACAAAAACCATTGTCACTAGCTCCCTTCGTTATTTCAAGCCCCTTCCCCTTTCAAGCAGAAACACCACAGTGGTAAAGCAGAGCTTGGAATCTCCACCACCATAGCTAAATACACCCAAAACCAGAACTTAATTTTTTATTTTTGCTTTACATTTCCAAGCGTCTCCCATTTGACACCATGGTAAACTGATAATGAAATTATTTGCTCTTTTTAAGTTAATGTTTACATCAAAAAGCATTCAAGTACAGTTTTAAATAAGCTACTGTAACCACAACATTGATGATTCTATTAAAGACTGACCAAAGAGCTCAACTCAAAGGCGTAAGTAGTCCACTATTTTGCAATTTGCCTTATCAAACATTTTTGGCTTAGCAGAACATACAGCAGCCCCCCCTCCCTGCCCAAATAAACAAACAAACAAAAAAACCCCACCCCAAAACTGACTTCTATTTCCAGTTCAACTACTCACTGAGAGGTCTCAAGGAAGCCTTTCATTTTCCAACAGTCTTCTGACTGTAAAAGAGGGATTATGCTTACTTACCGCATAGAAAGCTGAGAACTGAGAAGCATAAAGCGCTGCATAGAAAGAAACAGAAATGCTGAGTACTATTACTCCACAGAAAAATTAAGAAAACTGGTTATTTTAAACAAGAAGTTTATTTAAACAACGAGACGCTTTACTTGAAGGGAAAACTATCTAGGATTTTTTTTTTTTTTTTAAGATTCATTTACCCCTACTTAGACAGAGATTGCTCTACATGTAACAGCTACGTACAAAAAAGTTATAAAATTGTCCTTGGTTTTACAATGATAAAAGAAAAACATTGAAATTATCCAATCAAACAAGGTATGCAAGGTTTTTGTTTTTAAACAGTGAGAGCAAAATAACTTACTGGAATATAAAGATAAAAGTAGAAGGAGCATGCCACTAACGGAGAAAGGGGCATTTTCACAGAACCAGTTTGTTTTCCCACCCCACTCCATTAAATGTTGATCAAAACATACCATTGGCCATTTAGTTAAAAAAAATATGCATTATGTCTGTGCACATACACCAGTTACCTTATGTACAATAGAAGGAATAGGAAAAAAATCAGAGAGAGAAGAGAGAAAACTATACTGCAGTAGTCAGGATGTGGCTGAACCAAGTCTCATTTTTCTAATTGTGAATGTGTTGCTTGTGGGAGCACAGTTCTGGAGAGGAAAGTCGCCGGTTCTTTTTTGTGTGTTTGTTTTTTGTTGGGTTTTTTTGTTTGTTTGTTTAATTTTTTTTTTAGTAAACTCCTCCTGTTTGCTGCTGGAACACATCAATTGTATCTTCATCCTCCATTTCCAACTATAGCAGAAAAGAGAAAAAAGGCTTTCAACTCTTCTCAGATATCTACTGTAGCCTGGTTTGTTCTTACATTTCCTATCTTCACATTTACTTTTTATGCAACTTAACCAGACCAGCCCCACTCCCCTCAATCATCACCGCTTTGTACATTAACATACTTCACCATAACTCAAAAGCAAAGAAATTCCATGGAAAAAAAATGCCAGTTGATAGCTGTTGTCCTAGAATGAATTCTAGAATGTAACTTCAGGGTGCATTGTATGACTCCTATGGAAAAAAATCAGCATTCATAGTATTTTAATTCTGTTGCCTACTTTGCCATTGAATCTTCTTTCTCCTATTTACCTCCACAGTTTACCTCAGAACATTGCCACAATTCCACTTTGCTGTTGTTGTTCAAATGTGCAAATTGCTTCAGCTACAGCACTAAAGAAAGCAAACTGTAATTAAGGCCCCTAGACCAACCAGGCAGCAAAACCAAGCATCAGCAAGCACAAAATAATTAAAAACACTTTACATGGTCAACAACGTAACAAACTGCCAATGAGGAACAGCAATACTTCATTAACATAATTAGCTTTTTTCACCATAATTTTTACAGTTGATATTCCTGGGATGTTAATGTTACCAACTGATAAAATCTGTACCAAAACTGAAGGAGTTGCTATAACTGATATAAGTTGTATTTCTAAAAGAGTCTCAATTTCTGCTCCAGGAAATCAAACTGGTCTATGGCATTTACTGCAGCTATAAATAGACCAATCCTTAGCTTCAGCATAACATGGATGGAGAGAAAAGCACCCTGTTGCCTCAATTATCAATATTCCAAGTTAAAAAGTTGCATAGATTGTGGCCATAAGAGGCACATTCTTTGGAGAAACTGCTCAGAAAATACAGATCTACTATAAACCTTATAAAAACAAGAGTCCCTTATTTCGTGACAAGTGGTTCTGAAAAGCACATAAAACTGTATCACTTGGAAAGGCCCATTAAACGCAGCTACATGGAGCAGTGCAGAAAAATACTCAAGTCACAGTGAACCATTCTGTACCTGGAATGGCCTTTGTTTTAACCAGTTACAGACAGAAAACCCAAACTTCACAGTATTAATTTTATATCACTGAAACAGAGCTTCAGATTACAAGTAACAGAAAATTACTTTTGTATTACAAATGCAAGTTTGCCAACAGGATCTCTGATTAACATCCTGGCAAGCTTGTGTAAAAAAATAAAGCCATTGCCTCAGGAAAAACTTAATTCTTATCAATTCTACCGTGACTCAATAAAGTGACAGTTTTACAAGACCCACCATCTGTATACTGTACTTCATTTTCTTATTTTATTACTACAGTGATACAGACTTATTATCCAAAACACTAAAGAAATCTTTGATTCAATTTCCAATAATTCTAAACTAGTTACAACAAAACATCAAGTTCTATCACTAATATATACAATTACACAAGTATTTTCTATGAAACAGAAGCATCAACTGCAGCAAATTTCCAATACAGTTCTTTAGTTGGGCTGCTGTTGTTTACCTGTGCAGGTGTGTCTGTTTCATTGATTGGCTGCCCATCGAACCGGAATCTGATTTGCCTCATTGACAATCCCTGGACAAAGAGAAGTAACACAAAGGGAAGTGAGTCTCATGTAGAAGTACTCACTAGTTTCTCTTGAACTCATGACTAGAGTTGCAGCACGATCATTAAAAGCCACCATTCATAATGCAAGATATAGCTTGCATACTCCCCTCCTGCACTGACTTTAAGGCATTTCACTACAAATCCTTGCAATCTGTTTTGTATTAAAAATTTCACTGTGCCCAACAACTAAGAGAAGCAACAGTGCCCCCACTGACTGTAAGTTAAAATAAAGCAATTTCTAGTACACAAGTCTTACCCCAAAGGCCAAGATTTTTAGTGCTTTTTAATAATAATTCACTTGAAAATTAGATGCAACACTTCAGGTAACAAACATCAAGGAGCAGCATTCAATATTCCTTTCTGATCTTCCCCAAAAGAAAGGTATTCTAAAAATATTTTTTTCTAGAAATGCAACCACCATCTATTAGTCTGCAGCAGCAAAGAGTAGTCGATGGCAACTTTTTGACTTTGAATTCCTATTAACAAGAAATCAGTGGAACCAAGTTTTTCCATGCTTGTTCCACAGCTGGAACTTTCAAAAAACCTAACAGAATCTTCAACTTCCAGAAGCTACTCAACAGTATTTCAGACCAGCATTTCTACCACCCAATGGTCATTTTGGTGACCTCTTCCATCTCCAGAAGACTACTTCTCATTCTCGCTTGAGCCAACAGGTTTAAAAAGATAATTAAAGAGCAACAATCCCTTCTACTAATAACATAAGCTTCAAATTCCCAGGTTAGTTTTCAAAGGTATTCTACAGTAAACTACGTTCTGCAAAGGAAGATGAATAAAGTTTGAGGATACAACCAGAACCAAGGACCTTGGTGTCTACTTCCTTCCCAGTTCTCTCTAGCCTCTCTACAGAGTATCTAAAAAGAAGTCTAGTTGGTTTTGAAATAAATCTAGTGCATTGCACGGCACTGCTCCGGCATCTCTGAATTAGAAAAGCTTTCATTTAGCCATGCAAGAGCAGATATAAACACACAGAAGACAACTTAACATAGTAATTATTTTTGAGAAGTTGACTTGTCAGGAAGAGTGTTTTGATAAAGAATATGAGTAAAATTTTTGGTAAGACTTTACAGTTCACAGCAAAATACCTTCTCTAGCGTGGCTATGATTTTGCACTCAGAACATCATCTTGTTTAAGAAAACCATGTGACTAAATGTCATGGCAGCAACACATTTTTGCACAGCAACATTTGGTTTGAGCCATTTTCACCAACATTGCGTTTCTTAAAATATGTGTTTCCTATTCCAAAAGTGGTTGGTTTTTTGCATGTTCCTGACAACTATGAGCTGAATAAATGCTAGCTGAAAAGATACTGAAAAACTGTACCTTGGTGAGGGAAGTATCCACAAAAATTAAGCATGTCCCATGGATGATTTTTTCCCCGCTTACAGTAATTGCAAATAAGTCTTGATCTTCTAAACATATCATTCAAGGTTTAGTAACTTCCATTTTAGGTCTACTACATGCAATACTGGATTTTCATTCTTTAAAGCTGCTAAACTCCCTACTATATGCACCTTCCACCTCTCCAAAATTAAACCTAAAGACCACAGCTTAAGGATTTTAAGATTGGGTAGGAATCCTAGTTCCTAGTCAGGAACACACACAAAATATAAAATTTTAGAGACACACAGAACACATGCTTCTAAACATAGTTTGAGAAGTAAGCATCTAAGAAATTAAATTTTAAGACAAGTCTATCTCCACAGAAATATCCTTTGGATACCTACCAGCTTAAAACTGAAATCAGAATTTTTTTTTCCCTCCAATTGACATCTGGGGCTTTTTGCCGTTTCGGTGGTGTTGATGTTTTTTGGTGGGTGTTTTTTTTGCCCCCCCCCCCCCCCTTTTTTTTTTTTCTTTTTTACAGCAGAGTAGAAATTTAGGTGAAAAGTTTTAGAATCTTACTTCTGTTTGTTTCCAAGTAACTGAAGTATGAATGGTACTTCTAAAATCATCTTTCCAAAAGTTATAACTGCACTTTATGTTTGGAAAAAGTAATAAACAGTGATTTGCATAATATAACATGGATTTGTATAACAGAACTAGGAAAAATGAGCTCACAGCTTCAAACATTCATGAAATCATCCCCAGAACACCCATACAAGAACATATTCACTTGTCAGTAACAGCTGATTTTCCCTGTCTTTATTCATATCACTATCCTATGGCGGCAAAGGGGTTTTACCGCTCTGTATGTGACTTACAAGGCTTTTTTTCTTAGTGTAAAATAGTTACCTCAATATTTTATACTGATTTTATTGTATTTGATGGTATCACAGAATATTTGTGTTTAAAAAAAACAAAGCCTTCCCCAATTCCAAACACGTATGTAGAGATGGAACTTTCTAAAGGCAGTCAGTCACTAAAAAATCATGGACAGCAGAGACAAGATTTTCCTAATCAAAAGTTTCAGAACAAAATGTTAAATAGCTCTACTCTTACACAGGTGTTTTAAAAACTTGCAATAGCTGCCTGCAACCTAGTAGGCTGGCTACAGTTGCCACCATACTAGCAAAATCCATTTTTTTTGGTCCCTCAGAGGATTAATTTGACAGCTAGGCCACAAGAGGAAAAACAAAACTCATCACTAAATGCACAAGCTCCTTCTGAAGGTAGACATGAGACACCTTTAAACCCTGAAATACTCACTGACATTCTGTCATCTCAATACAATAATAGTAAGCTAATAAATCTGAAGCCTATGACCAGAGCATGAAGTTACTCAGAGTTATAAAAATACCTCTGATTATCATTCAACTCTCCATCCTAAGTTATTACCACAGGTTCCTAACCCACCCTTTCCATACTGATATTTTTGAGCAGTAGAGTAACAGTTGCCTCCCAACAGCCTACACGTATAATGCAGATTCCACAAAGATAACAACCAATTTTTACTTCACCCGTTTCCTGTCACAGCCCTGTCAGTCCACTCTGTAACAGATCCTAAGAACAATACAATTTCCACAACACAATTAATTTCTGGTAAGTCTTTATCATTTGGCATATTTACATAGTTTTAAGACTTTACTCTCTTCATCTATCTCTATGGAGATCACCTTTCCCCCAGACACCATTCTCCTGATGATCATACAAGAGCCATACCTGTCGTTCACAATAGGCTTTCATTAGTTTACTAAGTGGTGTATGCCTCTTAATCTTAAACTGCACCACAGACCCATCTTGCCCTGCCACCTTCAGATTAATGTGGTCATTGTTTTCAGTCTTCACTCCTTCCTGTTGAGGAAATAAAAGAAAAAAAAAAAAACAAAAACACAACACTTTTTAAAAGGTATGAAACAAGAAGTTAACATTTTACCAAAGTGCAACAGGTCATTAAAAAGGAGGAAATAAAGATACTATAGCTGTTTACCAACCTGAAACTTTGAATTAGGAAATAAAGGTCAGTACTTTTTATTTGGGGAAAAAAAAAGCCACATATACACACAAAAAAAAACCCCAAACCCTACTAATATTAGTTGTCATTCTCGAGATTGGTTAATGTGCAAAGTAGCAATGAAGAGTTACAGCCAGATGTTTTACAACAAATTAAAAAAAATTGTTTCTACCAAGGGCACAATAATATGCATCACTACTGTTCCAAATGAAAGGAATAGTGTTATTTATGCTATAACTATGATCTCAACCACTAGCAAGTCTCTTTCTTACTGTATCTCAAACTTTTTCCTAGCAGTTGAGGAACTTCTGAAGAAAACTTCAAGATACTTTAACGGGCAGTATTTGAAAAGGTGGCAAAAACTGAGAAGAACCAAGCTTTCTCCTTCAGAAAACATTTAAGAAAAAACCCTCCTTAATAAGCAGTACAATCCTCTCGCTTCCATTAGAAGCCACAGGCAGAAATCGCAAAGAACCAACTTTCAGCTCCGTTGGTCCTTGTTCTGATCCAGAGTATCACGGGAGAGGCAAAGAGAAGATTCAAGACTACCCAGATCCGAGGCAGCGCCCGCTCCTGAGGTACCCAGCAGCACTTTCATCTTTGTTTTCTTTAGGAGAAGCGTCGAGGGGGTCGGATGGCCCCGGCCGGGGTGCGGGTCCCCGCCATGTGACAGATCCCCGCACGCCGCGCTCCAGGCCACGGCCCCACACACCGGCCCGCCGCCCTTTATCATTTTCTGGCGCCTTCAAACTCAGTTT